GGGAATACACATGATGTTGATCATTGAATTCAATTCTTTGATACTGTGCCGCTGTGCATCCATTAAAAGTGACATCGGCAGACGGAAATTGAAAGCTGTTTCTTGCTTAGGGTACATTCTTGCATAATTGTTGAATGTGGAAGCCGTGTTCTCGGATGTTATCGGGATAATTTAACTGACTGTTATAATCAAGCGTGACGCTCTATTTGCTGCTGTTTAATAAACGTTGAGGCATTTATTAATCATCTTTGAATGCTAAAGTAAATTCACCTGCCAACTCCCACGTCATCTGAGCGAACTTATACATTACACAATACTGTTTGAGGAAACAAAACTATACAGAACAAAGCAATGGCAAAGGCAGTATTTGATATCTATACTTCCTTTTATATGCTTGTGGTTATCTTTGGAATTGTCGGAAATATCTTGGTTATCATCTCTATATTAAGGCAAAGACGTTTGTTGAGAAATAACTACTACTTTCTTGTTTTACACCTCGCCATCTGTGATCTAGGATGGCTTATTATTAAACTGATCTTTGCCATTCATCGCTATTTTAACCAGGAAAGGCTTTACAAAATGTCTATTGTCTATTGTCTAACAAGATATGTAAGGCACGTTTTTCAGTTCGCAGGAATATACATGATGTTAATCATTGCCATTTTTCGTTATCACGCTGCCGTACATCCATTGAAACACGACATTAAGCGACGGACATTGAAAGTTATTTGTTGCTTAGGGTACGTTCTTGGCGTAATTGTGGAATGTGGAACCAGTGTTCCGCGATGTTTTCTACCGAGGAATGTCGTGGTTTATATGAAGAAATATGTTTATGCATACGTGGTAGTGTTGCTGTATTTCTCTCCGACGTCAGTTATGACTGTCTTGTATTATAAGGTTTATGGTGCTCTTAAGAAACAAAACGATTACCTGAAAAGTTTAGGTCCAACTCTGATGGAAGAAAGCTTCAGCTCCTCTTTTAAAATCCTCCGATATATTCGCAATCGACGCACATTTCTTGTTTGCTTTGCTACCGTTCTTTGCTATGGGATTGGAAATCTTTTTATGTCTTTATACCTCATCCTGGCGATCGCTGATAATAGACATTCATTGATGGAACACAGTTGGATTTGGCCTTTGGCATATATTCTACAAATTGCTGCGACATCTTCAATAAATCCATTAATATACGGTATACTGGACAAAACGATGCACCCGTTTGGGAAATTTTGCTACCGGAAAAAACAAATTTAAACAACTTTCTACATATACTAAACAAGAGTATTCTTCGTGCTCTTCATTCTATTATATATTCTTCATTTCCGTTACCATGCAGAACAACATTGGGTATAATTTTTGTTGTTATATAGGTGCTGTGCATTTTAAATATGATTGGTTCATTCGTAGTCTTGACATGACTTTAAATAAATGCAATGTTTCCTGCCAGGGAAACAAGTGAAAAATTGTTGCCCACTTCTTGTCGTAACTGTAAAGTGGGGTTTTTTTAATGAAATTGTTGTGTAAGATGTATATGTTTTTTGTTCCTATGTAACAAAACTCGACTTCATTCAAACTCTTGAGAAAACAAAACTCACTATTTCCCTCAGGAGCATACATTAAGTGTATATTATTGAATCAATGTCATAATAAAACTATTATTGTATGGATGAGTGTGACAAGAATAATACAGGGCGTAATTAATGTTATATCTGCTTAGCCGCGGTAATATAACGAAGAACAGTATTGTAAAAGCGTATAATAGATAAATAGCAGCATTATTAATCTTGTCTCTTTCTAATAGTGTGCAAGGTTTTACAAGGAAATTAATATTTCACTTGTATGCTTTTAGTATTATCACGTAATTACTGTTTGATGTGAATGCATTGATTCCTGTGCAATATATTTCTTATCCCAGCTACTGGGGTAATATAATCATCAGTTCTAATTTGCATGGAGCTAATGTGCTTCTACATGCAGTGTTTGGGAGAACTCGAAATAATCAGTGGGGAAATGAACCCGTATGACGAGTTTTCCCACAATATTTCGAGATCTACCCAACTCCCACAAGTGTTTCCATAACAGTGTATGAACACAGGAAAAAATGTTTCCTATTTCCTTTATAACATAACTCATTCGAAAGATTTTGAATTCGATTCAATTACAAATTCTCACTACATTACTTTGCTTGTCAATTTCGGCGGGAAATCTCCGTCTTTCTATGCAGTTATAAAAACACGCTTCTCGACCAATCAGCTGCGCGTACTATAAATGTTATATTATAAAAGTATTTAATTCATAATGCAGTCTACCTTACGTAACTTACATCAAGAAAATAAGACGAAAAAGGCGTTGAACTACTTCATTAAGAAATACGTCGAAAAGTCGTCAAGTTATTCTAATATCTGTAGGGTTTGTTTACTAAGAAACTGTTAATAAATGCTGATGCTTTATTTAGTACTGTTTAATAACAGTTCGCAGGCATCTTATTAATCATCCTTGAATACTAAAGTAAATTCACCTGCAAACTCCCACGTTATCTAAAGAAAATTATACAATACTGTTTGAGCCAGGGGTGGATCCAGCACTAGTGCACTAATTTGCATTACAAAACAAAATGGCTATTTTGAGCAGTTTTCTTGTGTCATGCAAATTAGTGCACTTGTGCTGGATCCACCCATGGTTTGAGCAAGAGTAACCTAGCTTTATACTGGACAAAGCAATGATACGGAGAGCATTTGATGCAAGTCTATATATATCTTTTTATATTGTTAAGTTTACCGGTGAGAACGACCAAAAATTGAGAACGGTGTTGAGCATTTTTAAACTTTTAGTGAACTATAGTAATTTAAACTTAACAAAGTATATTAACATTATCCTATTTCTTAATAATAACTTATCTGGTCTTAGTAACATAGTTCGATAGCTTGACTGGCTACTTGAACAGCGAATAGCTTTCTAGTTAGAAATCCATGTTGATGTTGATATTAACAGCTTAAATTAGCATCGTCAAGTGTATGGCTCTATAGATTTAGCCTTCTTGTCTCTGTTCAATATTTGTGTGTCCCTCGGTATTTCTTTTCATCGTGATGCTGTTTTCCAGGCTAATGCCTTATGAATAATGATGCCTTAAAGATTTTGGCTAGGGGAAGAACTAAAACTACAAGTCATTTCCCCTTCGCAATATAGTACGTTGTTGCACATGCTATCGTGGTTTGATATATACAGTGTGTTGTAACTATTGCTTATACTCATGCATGTAAGTCCAAGTTTACTAAAGTTCATCGAATATATGAAATATATAGTTATAGTATTAAAGAACTTAGCGTCAAATGTGGTATAACAACTGCCTAGAATAGACAAAATTCAGACGTTTCGTCCTGAGGGCCTTTGTCAGGAGAGTTAGTATGAAAGGAGGAGAGGAGGAGAACTGTAGAATACATGTTTTGTATGGGGGCAAAACACGTGATAAAAATTGGCCAGTAGAAGACAAAAATCGAAACAAATTGGAATACATTACATTGCCAAAAAGACGCCTGCATGATTGCGGGCTAAGAATAGCCCGCAATGAGAGAAGCCTGATGAGCGACGAAAACCCATTACAACCAGCTTTGATGTAAACAAAGAAATGGGAGTCATATTACTCTGGGTGAAGTAGCTTAAATGAAAGAGAGTCTTTCATTTATTCCAGTGGGATGGAGAGTGCCAAGACTGTGGATGAGTCGCATTTCTTGTCGTTTACGGCTATCGTTAGTACCGGAAATGGGGCAGAGAATTTTCATGTCCGTGACACAATGATTACCAGAGGTAAAGTGTCTGGCAACATGCTTGGTGTTATCGTGGTTGTTTCACTTAAATTTGCTAAGAAAGGAGCAATATCTCAAAAGAAGTGAGTGTGGGCTGTTGACGTTCTCGCAAATAACAGAATACACTCAAAAAATAAAAAATAAGATGTTACCTTATCTCAGTTTCAAGAGAAAAGATATATGGAAAGCTATCTTCCATAAAAACAATAACTTGCAAAGAAATTATCCGAAACATACGAGTTTCAAAATATAAAAATATGACATTTTTATACGAACTTTTCATGCATGAAGAAAATCTTTAAAAACTGCCCTATGCTCTAGCACGATTGGCAAAAATAAAGGACTATCGGTGTCGTAAAACTGTGTCAAAATTACAGAGTCGAAAACAGAAAAGGTAAAAAACAAAATTTACTCGAAAGACAAAACAAAAGTTTGAAGCGTACTTGTACTCACAGCGAAAAATTACTATTCGTGTTTACTCACACTGTAGTGGGAAAATATAGTAGTCAGATAAGGTAGATGCAGAGGAACTGATTGCTATAAAAAATCAACTTTTTTCCCACTCTTGTTCTTTTGAAATAAAAAAACATACAAAAGTCCGAGCTTTGCGAGCCATCACTCCCGGTCAAAACCATGAAAAAAATGTTTGGCCGTGCGCGTAGGAGGATTGGGGTGTCTTCCAATAGCTCGTTCAATTTCCGCCATCTTTGGCCTCACTTTTAGCAACCAAGTTACTACTCCATATATATATAGAGCTCACTGGTTCGCGCATGCTTAGACAAAATCCCCACCTCTTGCTCTGCTACTGCTTTCGAACTTCCAGACGGACGTCAGCTGGCGCACCGCGGGCGCGATATATATATATATATTTTGCTTCGTTTGAAAAGTGGAGAGGTTGTTGCATGCATTTTATTTCTAGTACCGTGCTGTTTACAAACTTCCCCTTAGTGTTATTGATGCAATAATGATTTTAACGTGCTTCTTATTTGTTTAAAACATAATTGCGATGCTGTAAAGCAAAGAACACTGATCAAAAAGAGATTGCTTATTGGTCGCATATGCCTGTCATGCATATTCATTATTCTTGAGTACCATGTAAAATTCACCTGCAGTTTTCATGTTATCCAAGCGAACGTACGTGCACTGTTTATGAAATCGAAGCTCAGAATCCTATATAATTATTACTTGAATGAAGTAATGGCACAGAGAGCATATAATGTCTTTACCTCTTTTTACATGGTTGTTATTATTCTTGGAATTGTCGGAAATATCTTGATCATCATCTCAATATTAAGGCAAAGACGTTTGTTGAGGAATAACTACTACTTTGTCGTTTTACATCTGGCGATCTGTGATCTAGGATGGCTTGTTGTTAAGCTCTTCGTCACCAGTCATTTTGGCGAAAAACATCTTTTGAAGTTTTCAATCGCCTACTGTCTTTCAAGATACGGACAGCATGTGGTACAATTCGCAGGAATTTACATGATGTCGATGATTGCGATTCTTCGTTATCGCGCTGCCGTACAGCCATTAAAATGCTCTATCAGTCGACGGAAATTGAAAGTTTTTTGTTGCTTAGGATACATTCTTGGCCTCGTTGTGGAAGTGGAACCAGTATTCCCCGATGTTTTGCACCAAAGAATATCGTTGATTATATGAAGAAATATGTTAATGCATACGTGGTGTTGTTGCTGTATTTTGCTCCGACTTTATTCATGGCGGTGTTGTATTACAAAGTATATCGAGCACTTGAGAAGCAAAAAAGAATTCTAAAAAGCTTACGTTCATCCCAAGTGGAAGAAGGCTTCAGTTTCTCTTACAAAATGCTGCGATTTATTCGAAATCGAAGAACTTATTTTATTTGTCTTACCACCGTTCTTTGCTATGGGATTGGAAGTCTTTTCATGTCTTTGTACCTTGTTTTAGAGATCGTTGACAGCAAGTATCTCTTAAAGGAAAATACTTGGATTCTAGATTTGGCTTTTATTTTACAAGCTGCAGGGACATGTTCAGTAAATCCTTTCATATACGGTATATTCGACAAAACGTTACATCCATTTGGGAAATGTTGTTCCCACAAGAAACAAATTTAAACTGGTTTAAAGAGCAAGCCAGTCTAATAATAATAATCAGTCTTATTGCACATAGCTTTAGACTATAGCTGACTGCAAGTAATATTGTGCCTGGCATATTAAACAAGAAATGATAAATAAATGAATATGATGAGTAATATAAGCTTTATCGTTTGAAGTTTTCGTTTATACCTGGCGAAATGATGCTATAGCTACTTTATATACGTTCATGAATTTAATAACAAAAAATTAGAATGAACGCATATTTGTCCATATCTTTATGGTTATACAACCGATATTTCTTCGTGGAGTTTTAGTTAGCTTATTGATGTAGGGACTTTAAGATTAAGTTTAAAATTGTATCATTGTGACACTATAATATCATTGAGTCACTATACTAAACGATTTCTTTTTATTTAAAACTGGTGTTGAGTTTCATCATGAGATAATATGGGTTAATGCATATAAGACTTAAAAAGCTTTAAATAAGTCGTTTGTGACGACGTGTAATATTCAAATTAGATATATCCTATATTGGCCGAGTCATGCATTGTACAATTTTCTGCCATTGACAAATCACCTTTTGAACTATGTGCACTTAATAAAGATTAGACTCTATTATAAATATTGAAGAAATAAAAGGGGAAAGCACGGGCATAAAATATAACTAAAGCAAATTCATGACTAATGTTCCAGTACTCTCCATCATCGAGCGATGCCCGAATACAATGTTTTGAGGTATATCGGTCGAGAAGTTGTTATATACATAAATTGACACTGTGGCAGATTCAGGGTTTTCAGTTTATAATACCTTGATAACAATGCTATTTGGTTAATATTCATTTCTAAACGAATATTTTACAATGAAATCTACCTAAATGATTGCAAGTTAGAGCTATTGTAATTTATTCTCTCCCTCGATCTGCCGCTGGACTTTGGCATCTTTTAAAGTCTGCTTATATCAATAAATTTTGACAAGCATATTGTCATCATGCATATTTATGATCTTCAACCCTGATTAGTATTAATTCACCTGCAGGCTGTCGCTTCGTTCAAGCGAACATGATTTAAACAGTTTTTGAAAGTGAGCTTGGTATTTATCTAGATATTTTATGAAACTTTAGCGCCGACATACGCAGCATTTGATGTCCAATTACATCCTGTCTTACATCGAGTAAACGAGAAAAAAAAGGCCTGTAACTGAATTATTGCATTATGTTAGCGTCTGTTTACTTAATTTGTTTCCTCAAACGGTTTGATGCTGCAAAATATTGAAAGGTTTGGGAGCTTGTTTAAGGTAACAACTAAATCCCCCCCCCCCAATGATTGCATCTAGTAACGTCGCTGATAACCACGTCTGCCCAATGAATGTTCAAAGGCTCTTCCTATGGGATCGTACATGATCATCGCAAAGTTTTTGAGACGCGACTGTTAAATGACCACTTCATTCGGTGCCGCTTAATAAAAATTCGGAGGTGTTTTATTTATCATTCTTGAGTGCCGAAATAAACTCCTATGCAAACTGTCTCATTAAATCAAACGTGCGCTATATATACTACTCGAGAAAGTAGAAATTAAATTCTAGTGTCTGATATTTCAATGAAGCAATGACGCAGACAGCATATAATGTTTATGTGTCTTTTTACATAGTTATTCTTATTCTTGGGATTCTCGGAAACATATTGCTTATCATCTCCTTTTTAAGACAAAGACGTCTTTTGAGGAATAACTACTACTTTTTTGCTTTACATCTTGCGATCTGTGATCTTGGTTGGCTTGTTACTACACTTTGGTTTATCATCATCCATGATCATTTCCCTAAAAGATGGCTTCTCGAAATTCGAACTTTCTATTGTCTTTCAAGATATGTAAGACACGTTTTTCAATTTGCAGGAATATATATGATGTTGGCAATTGCGATTTTACGATATCACGCTGCGTTATATCCGTTGAAACATAATATCAGCCGTCGGAAATTGAAAATCGCTTGTTACTCCGGGTACATTCTTGGCCTAATTGTGCAATGTGGGACAAGTATTCCCGAATGTTTTCTAAAGCAGAATGTCGCGGAGAATATGGAGAAATACGTTTATACATACGTGGTCTTGTTGCTGTATTTTGCTCCGACTTCATTTATGGCTGTGCTGTATTATAAAGTATATCGGGCCCTTGAGAAGCAAGACAAATATCTAAAAAATTTACGTTTAATTTCGCAAGAAAAAAACTTCAGCTCTTTTAAAGTCCTCAGATACATTCGAAATCGACGGACATTTCTTGTTTGTCTTAGTATCGTTCTTTGCTTCGGGTTTGGAAATTTTTTCATGGCTTTGCGCCTAATTCTTAAAATCGCTGACATAGAAGATCTCTTAGAGAATAACATTTGGATTTCGTATGTCGCTTATATTCTTCGAGCTGCTCTTACAACTTCAGTAAATCCCCTAATATACGGTATATTGGACAAAACGTTGCACCCGTTTGGGAAATGTCGTTCCGGGAAGAAACATATTTAGATGATTCTTGTAATTTAACGGCAAGGGATAAAATCCCCATCCTCAATTGAAAATTGGTTTCATTGCGTTCAGCTGTCGAAGATACTTGGGTGAAAGCTATACACAAGGGGCTTCGCGAAATAACCAAGAATCAGGACATTTGAATAAACATATAATGTCAGAATTAGTCTTATTCGGAGAAAGAATAATTATGACATAAAGTTTAGATGGACTAGACTAAATAGGAAGGCTGGCTACGTCAATGAAAATGGAAAACCAGTCTCTTTGCACAGACGCGTGACGCATAAAGATTTCGATTTACCTGACTGCAATTAAGTGACAAGTAATGTTTACAACACGAGCTGCCGTGTTGTATTGAATATACAATTTTAAATGTGGCTTGCCAGTGGTAGGTCACGCATGCTTGGCACCCATATTGGCCTGAATTTCTTGCCATGTTCTATGAGAATATAATAATAATATAATAATATAATATAAAGTCCATTATTGATGCACCGCTATACCAGTTTTAAATTGTTTTATTTATACTCATTGTGAAGATAAACGTTTATTATATAAATGCGATATTTATGAGATCCCCTTGTCTTTTTAAACCAAACAAATAATTCCGTAACATGCATGGACATGCAGCCATGCAGACATTGCGAATATTTTTCAATTTTGCCCTTTTTGTTCGGCATCTCTTGAAGCATACTCTCTAAGTGGGAGACTTAATTATGCATATAATTATCATGTGCATCTTTGAGCTTGATGACTAAAACAGATTCACCTGCAGAGAGCAGACTGTCTTGTTAATTATCCAAGCGAACGTTTACAATTTGAGAAATTGAATCTTCTAATATCTCATGAAACAAAGTTCCCTAACATGGTTTAATGAGATTAAACAAGCGTTGGATTGTTTCAGGAAAGGCTTCGATCGGTCGGCGAGTGCATGATTGCATCATTTAGAGTTGGTTTATTTAGTTCATTTCCTCTGATCGTTTGATGCTGCTACAAAACCATGAACTATCGAGTTTGGAATATATCGAGTTTGGAATCGTGTCGAAGATAACCCGTGTGTCTGGTGTCGACATGTTTAAAAAATGTCCTCTGAATGCCGTTAACATAAATACATAATCGCGCAGCAAAGTTTTTGGGTTTTCAAAATATAACTGTAAGGGAAGTTTACGGCTACTTTATTCGAGACTGGTAAATAGACGTTTACAGGTATTTTCTTTATCATGCAGTTTCAAGACAGTTTACTGAAGAGTGTTTTCAAAGAGAACGTCAACTGTACTATTTGAGAAAGTGAAGCTAAAATTCTATAGTATAAAGTATTTGGTCTATCGTTTTATGGTCTTCAATATATGACTGTTAGTGAAGTGTGACCACTTTATTCGGGGACGGTTAATTAACATTTGAACATTAAATTATTTTGTTTATCATCCTTTACTTCGAAAGTAAATCCACCTGCAAACCGTCTCGATATCCTATCGAAGTTATACAATACTTAATACATATACAATAAATGGCGCAGACCGGATATAACGCCTATATGTCTTCCTACATGGCCATTGTTATTCTTGGGATGTTTGGAAATATCTTGGTTATCATCTCCATATTCAGGCGAAAGCGGCTTTTGAGGAATAACTACTACTTTCTTGTTTTGCACCTTGCAATCTGTGATCTAGGATGGCTTGTTTTTACGCTCTTTGTTATCGTTGATCGCTATTTCCCCGATGTGGGGCTTTGTAAAATATCCATCATACATTGTCTTTCAAGATATGTAAGGCACGTTTTTAAATTCGTGGGAATATACATGATGTTGATCATTGCAATTCTTCGTTATCACGCTGCTCTGCATCCATTAAAACATAACATCAGTCGTCGGAAATTGACAGTTATTTGCAGCTTAGGGTATATTCTTGGCTTGATTTTGCAATGTGGAACCAGTGTTCCCCGATGTTTCCTACAGAAAACCGTTGTGGATTACATGAACAAATACGTTTATGCATACGTGATATTGGTACTGTATGTGGCTCCGACACTATTCATGGCCGTGCTGTATTATAAAGTATATCGAGCACTTGAAAAGCAAAACAAATATTTAAAAAATTTAACACCGGGGAAAGAAAGCTTCAGCACCTCTTTTAAAATCCTCAGGTATGTTCGAAGTCGACGGACATTTCTTGTTTGTCTTAACGTAGTTCTTTGTTATGGGTTTGGAAACATTTTCATGTGCTTGCGGCTTATTTTAAGGATAATTGATAGTGAAGCAATATTGTTAGACAATATATGGCTAACGTATTTCGCTTTTATTCTGCGAGCTGCTGGAACAGCTTCAGTAAATCCCTTAATATACGGTATAATGGACCAAACTCTGCAGCCCTTTGTGAAATGCTGTTCTAAGAAGAAAGATGTTCAAAAGATTCCTCGTGTTTAAGCTCCTCGGTTTCCGTCGTTTCACGGAAGGACTTCAGAATTTCCACTATATAGCTATTGTCTTTTAAGATTTGTAAGGCACATTTTTCAATTCGCGGGAATATACGTGATGTTGATAGTTAAGCCATTTTGCAATAGCTTTAGAGTATTACTAACTATATAGTAATGGTGGCTCACGAATTGAATAGAAATGAGAATGAATGTATTATATTTCTAGCTTTATTGTCGTTTCAACCAATGTTTCATTCGTCAAAGTCAAGGTTTTATTCAACGATTTTCACCGAGACTGAGGTGAATAATTGTTTTAGTACAATTACATAGGTGATTACTTTAAAATTACCAATATGTTGTAGATATACTTTTTCATTTGCATTGTAAATAAATATTCCGCATTCATCTGGTCGTAAAACGATCATGTTTAAACGATAAATATTGCACGCTGAGCACGTCAGCAGCTGAAATTACGTAATTAATACAGAATATTGAGAATCAACCGGTGCTTTCTGACCAATGAGGAACGACAATATACACACGAAATGGATAATAACATTAGGTATTTTCACTAGCTGTAATGATCATCATTTATATTAGATGCACACTTTATGATATAATATGGTTAATATGGTTAGTAATAAAATGGCTAATACATGTACTTCAATTAAAATGACTTGCTTGGTTTATTGAATTTTAAATCATGCAGAATAATATATTTTAATAATGTGCATATATACTTCATTATACTCCACGTTCCGTTTATGGGACGTTTATTGTGACATCCCGATTTGGCGTAACTTTTATTGTATTGTCAAATATTATTCGATGGAAATTTTAAGGTCGCAGTAAATTCTATCTGCGATGTATTGTCCGGTAGTGTCGGCGGGGGGGGGGGGGGGGGCGATGTACCTATCTAGATAGCTAGCTATCTTTATGAAAACGGTATATATCTTAATAATGATGGAAGATTATTTAGACGTTTAAAATTTGCACACTATCCGTAATTCATATATCTTTATTAAATTGGCCCGCATTGAGCGATAGTCTTAGCTATGTTTTGAGTTCAATCGAGGAATTGATTTACATAGTCATATTCTCATATTCTTCTCATTATATATTTTGACACCTTTCGTTGGCGAAGGAAATATATCATCCACATTCATTTTATCACACATGAGTACTGCGCGCAGGCCGTCGCGGTGTATGTTTTTGAGGCTCTCACGCAGAGAAAAACAACTTCTATCAAGTAAATATTGAACGAGGCGATGGCTCATACGGAAAATGATGTCTATTTTTTTACATGGTTGTTGTTATTCTTGGGATTGTCAGAAATGTCCTGTCATCATCTCGATATTAGGCCGTCTGTTGAAGAATAAATACTACTTTCTTGTTTTACACCTAGCGATTTGTGTCTGTGGTGGCTGTTTCTTAAGTTGTTGTTCATCAATTATCACTACGCCGCCAAAGAATTACTTTTTAAGAGTTTCTTTATCGATTGTTTTCTGCGTGTTTTATATATGTTATGCGTGTTTTTCAGTTCGTAGGAATATACTGATGTTGATCATTGCAATTCTTCGTTATCACGCTGCTGTGCAGCCATTTAAACATAACATCAGACGGCGGAAACTGAAAATTATTTGTTTCTTAGGGTACATTCTTGGCCTTATTGTGGAAGGTGAAACAAATTTTCCCCGATGTTTATATACAAAAGAAAGTCGTGGATTATAGGAAGAAATATGTGTTTGCATACGTGATCTTGCAGCTGTATTTTGCTCCTACTTCGGGCCCTCGAGGAACAAAACAAATCTCTTAGGTTCAAAACGGGGAGAAGAAAGCTTCAGCTCTTGTTTTAAAATCCTCTGGTATTCGAAATCGTCGGACATTTCTTGTTTGTTTTAGTATCGTTCTTTGCTATGGCCTGGTAATCTTTTCGTGTCTTTGTTCCTTATTTTGAAGATGACTGAATGTGAAGATCTATTGATGGAAAATAAATTAATTCCGTCCGTGGTTTTTATCTTCCATGTTGCTGGAGTTGCATCAAGTCCCCTAATTTACGCATCCGTGTGGAAACTGTTGTTCCAAGAAGTAACATAATTATTTAAACGATTCTTGTATTACTTGCAAATACAGGTCGAACAAGTTAGAAAAAAAACTCATCTTTTTTAAATACTCGATAGAGAGGGTATATATACTACTACTTATCGTGGTATATTTTGGTCTCATAGTTATTTAGCTTGTCGCTTTGAATTTTAATGTGATGTGTATTACATAAATGTATATACAAAGGATAATATACGACAACAAACGGGAATTTTGTAGAGCAAAACAGCTTTGCATTATTATAGACATAGAATGCGTCGCAACGCACTCACTTAGCATCATCTGTAATGATATATAGTCGAAATTAAAATGCGTAAATAACACCACAGGTGCAGTTGGATATTGTTCCACAACATAACAGCTTTATGCTTTATATACGATCCTGCATGCATGGCTCATCCGGATAACCAAGCTGATTCGTTTCTTTTGCTGAATTGTATTTCGCGTAGATCTTATAATATATTGTTATGCACGTATTTTGCAGAAATATTTCTGTAATGTTTATCAACTTTGCCGGACAACTTTCGGCGGGAACTCACCTCAAAAACATGTGACAGCTGGTTCATTCAGGCGCCAGCACCGACGTGCCTGATTGAATGAGGTTGAACATTAGAAGGTGAGGTTAAGGAATTGTTGGAATTATATAATTCTCCGACTTTAGTCTTGGCCAGTGTTTTTTTCCTAGACATTTGCGTATTACTCCGGCGTGAGCGCGGAGTTAAAAATTCGCCTTGGTTTGGTTTTGTTTTCTTTTTTTTTTTTTTTTAATTTTTTTTACTATATGTCATCAGAATTCCAGGGAAATTACCCGCGCGTCAAACTAAAGTATTTAATCTACTTTAAGTCTCAAGTGCAGGAAGCAATAATTCTTTATTGGTATGCCAATAATTCCTTTATTATTTTTAACAAAAAATGGCTTCGATCGTACTGCCATTTGCATGTGTAGTCAGACTCAGCAATGGCGACAAAACGTAACAATCAAAACCTCATTTGTTTAATTTACTAAATTTCACTTCGCTTTATCGTGATAATAATTTTGTCCATATATTTAGAAATTAAAAATGCAAACGTTTGCGAATAAATCCTTATAGAAAAACAAAACAAATACGCTTTCGCTCGAGCATAAAATAATTTTTCCCCTTATAGTTATAGGCATCTCTCGAAGCATACTGTTTAAGTGGGAGACTTAAATAAAAATTATGCGATATAATCATTATCATGTGCATCTTCGAGCTTGAGCACTAAAATAGATTCACCTGCAGAGAGCGGAACTGTCTTCTTATCAAGCGAACTGGAACAATTTGAGAAATTGTTACAGGACTGTTGCATCATTTAAAGTTTATTTAGTTCGTTTCCTCTGACCCGTTTGATGCTGCTACAAAACCATGAAGTGTCGAGTTTGGAATCCTATCGAAGGTAACCCTGTCTGTCTATAATGAAGGTGTCGACATGTTTAAGAAATGTCCTCTGAATGCCGTTAACATAATCCCGCAGTTTTTGCGTTTTCAAAATATACCTGTAACGAAAGTTTACGGCTACTTTATTGGAAACCGGTAAATAGACGTTTAAAGGTATTTATCATACAGTCTCAAGACAGTTTTTAAGGTTTTATTTAGACAAGCAGTCTCAAGACAGTTTTCCGAAGAGTATTTCAAAGAGAACGCCAACCGTACTACTTCAGAAAGTGAAGCTCAAACTCTATAGTATAAAGTATTTGGTCTATCGTTTTTGGGTCTTCAATATATGACTGTTATTGAGGTGCGACCACTTTATCGGTGCCGGTTATTAATATAAACATTTGAACATATTTTGTTTATCTCCTTTACTTCCAAAGTAAATTCATCTGCAAACCGTCTCGTTATCCAAGCGAATGAAGCGATGCTATACAGTACTTAATACCTATATACAATAAATGGCCAGACAGAATATATTGCCTATACGTCTTCCTACATGGCCATTGTTATTCTTGGGATGTTTGGAAATGTCTTGGTGATCATTTCCATATTGACACGAAAGCGGCTTCTGAGGAATAACTACTACTTTCTTGTTTTGCACCTGGCGATCTGTGATCTGGATGGCTTGTTATTGATCTCTCCTATAACATTCATCACGTTTTGTTGAAAGAATGGCATTTCAAAATTGCTATTATTGAATTGTCTTTTAGGATATGTTAAGCATGTTTTTAAATTCGTAGGAATATACATGATGTTGATAATTGCAATTCTTCGTTATCACGCAGCTGTGCATCCATTAAAACATAACATCAGCCGAGGGAAATTGAAAGTTATTTCATGTCTTGGGTACGTTCTTGGCCTAATTGTGCAATGTGGAACCAGTGTTCCCCGATGTTTTCTACAGAAGAATGTCGTGGATTATTGAAAAATATGTTTATGCATACGTGGTCTTGCTGCTGTATTTTGCTCCGAGTTCCTTCATGGCTGTGCTGTATTACAGAGTGTATCGAGCGCTTGAAAGGCAAAACAAATATCTGAAAAGGTTGGGTTCGACGCCGAGGGAAGAAAGCTTCAGTTCTTCTTTTAAAATCCTCAGATATATTCGAAATCGACGGACATATTTTGTTTGCCTTTGTATCGTTCTTTGTTATGGAATTGGAAATCTTTTCATGTCTTTGTATATTATTTTGAGGATCACTGAAAGTGAGTATGTTTTGATGGAAAATAAGTGGATTTTGAGTTGGCATATATTCTGCGAGTTGCTGGAACAGCTTCGATAAATCCTTTGATATACGCGTATATTGGACAAAACAATGCACCCGTTTGCGAAATGCTGTCCTAAGAAGAAAGATGTTTAAACGATTCCTGTATTGAAACTGAATAGATTGGAAAGCCAACCCATGAATATTCGCTCTCCGCATGAATTAATTGTCAGTCATACCTGTATGGCTGC